TGAGGCGTGCGAGATTTATACATATATAATCAAACTAACACTCATGAGAGCGGTATTATTTATTTCCACTGGAAGGTTAGTTCGTGGTTCGGAAATTGTACTTCATTGTCAATAACTAATAGTTGAGATGAGTGGTCGTGATGACTATGTGACTCTCGTTGTCTATCGTGAATATGAAGATATCACGAAATGAGGACGTCGCGCTCACGAGCATTCACGAGTATTCATGGGAGTGCAGGAGTTTTGAAATATTTAAAGCAAAGAGTAAATATTGTGCATAGTGTAACGCTTCAGTTTGCAGTTGAGTGTCTATCGGAAATAGCCACTTCATGTTCGTTCTTTACGATCGGAAGAGAATTCTCACTTACTAGGATTCGGTACTCAGGCGATTCCTCTCATCCCTACTGTGGATATTATTTCCACTCAGCAGACTGAATCATTAACACAGGGATGCTATTCACAGTTCACCTGTGTGTTTCCGATGCAAAATAGTGCTATTATTGAGTTGACTTTATCTCAGATCACGTCATATATATGTACTCATGCATTTACTACACGAAGGATGTTTCACTAGCTGGAGTCTCTACTATTCGAAATCAAATGTAGCCTCATTTGAGTTCAGATGTCTTTAAGTGAAGTTGTTTCACTGATTCGATCATCTAGTTATCATTCATCCTGCGAATCACAATATGTGGATTACATCTTCCACACTGTGTTGTACATCTGAACACGTGGATGTTTACCTGGGTGTAGGAAAAATTTTTTTTCTGAGAACATGCTCTTCCAGGGTGAAGTTACCTGTAGTAGATCACTTGTTCCTCTTCCTATTCTTGTTCGACATGCTGACTACATTTCTTACCACCATTTTGATTCACGCTATGAATTTTTCCTTCGAAATCGCCTAATGTTCATTCATATGCGGTACGTTGTCTTCTCGACAACGTCATAGTCATGTCATGTACACCCTTAGCGTATCACGTAAGTTTGTGTGTAAAAACATAATCTCAATTGAATCCGCATCATGCCTACCTACTGCATCGAGGCGTCTTAGGGTTTTTTCGACACGAGTTGCATTTCCACTTAGCTGTTGAGAAAACACACAATTTCCGAAATAATAACAGCAATAGTAATAATCCGACCTTCTGGTCAGGTTCTCAGTCATACTTTGATCTTCACCTAGGCTTATTACACAGCATCATCAGATCACTCCATGTCAAATATGTGCGATAAGAATAAATACAATGAAATCGATAGTTCACCATATCTCCATGCTTTCGATTGTTTTCTTAGATTTAGGCTGTTGGATCCTGCATCGAGGTTAAAATTCATTGAATCTCATGCTAAAATGGAGTACGATTGTGAGTACGAAGAATTGCCACGATCACAGAGTACACGTTGCACCATTTTGATTTCACATACACTTTGCGGATATTCAGGAAGGGGTCTTTAATCTTGAAAGAGTCCAAATAACCTATGTAGGAAAATCTGTCGGTCCGCCTGAAATCAGGTTCAAATCACGGCTATCAGCAAATAACAAAATCCAACCTCTCAGTAACTGCGCATATGTTGAACTCGCAAACGCCATATTCATTATCGCAGTCTGATGTTTGTCTTTTATTCTCCGTGAAGGAGCAGAAATTGCAAATTTTACAGATATGTTTCTCTTTAACACCAATCACTCTCAGTCATCTGCTTAAATTGCAGGCTGTTAGAAACCTCGCGGAAGAGTTAACAGAGAACCTACATTCTCGTGTACATAATTTCGATATTATGTACGTTTCGTAATTTATACAGTGGTGAGACAATTTAACCGAACCTGTATAAACTAAGTGTCTCCAATTCCAACCTTCGAAATCAGAGGCTGCAATACGAGTAAACGGTTGAGATGATCGCCGTATAAACTGCAACACTCTGGTGACCACAAAAGCAATAGGAATACCCTAGTCGTTTGATGCAACGTATTACAGAATACGGCTATTGAACATCTCGGCGTTATGAAGTGACAGTTCTTTTGAGCAGTGTTTACAATCCCGGCACCATGGTTATGTTTCTTATTTGCGAATGACTACTTGATACGATCAATGTAATTACTTGTGGCCTTACACCAGAATAGTGTCCGTTGAACTCATACTGGACTAAGAGGTTCAACTTGCCACACGGACCACACGACCAACCCTTAAATACCACAACCACTGTCAATGAGAGGAAGTCTAAGGAGACCACTTCACTCTTTTATCTGACCAAACAGCATCCTTTCAACCACATATGACACGCCGCACGGATGAGGCTGTCAAAACCCGGCAGGATTGAGAAAGGCTGGACAGAACCTCATCACTCTGAAATAACTGAGGACATGAACTTCACACAGAACATTGGAAATCTTTTCGATTTTCAACACCAATGTAAAGTCAGTCAGTCATTCAGTTGTTTCTCCTATATGGGTCATTAGCTTGCCTAACGTGTCACCATGAGCATTCACAACAGCCTGTCGCAGAGCTTTGTCATCAGCTGCTTCAACTCGATACTGACAATGATATGACTTGCCAGAATAAATCAGTGACAATAAACTCTGAAACGAACAAACGAAGAACCTGTTGCTCATCGAACATGCAGGAGATAACCGAGATGGATCTGACATGTGCCGAGGAGACGATTGGAAGACACATTGGAAATTGAATCAATGATGGCGGATACGCCATATAAGTGACACTGGCAAAAAATCCATGACAGCATAGATTGATTCTGTATCGTCAGTGAATGTGATTTGCTCCCGATGTTATTATGCACTATCCGAACACTAATTTTCATTGCTAGTCAAACCTTGATTGTCATTAGCGTCAATCAAGTCTTAAAACACGAAAACACAAGAACCGTCGATTTATTTTACACACATACACAATTTGCTCCAGGAGTGTTTCACAATGATGCTGTCCGTGGAGACGAATGGCACTTCTCAAATTCTCTATACACCTAATTCCTGTAAGTCCCAATCACTCGCAATTCACTTCTACTCGTTTGTTCTACTCAGATGTTTCCAAAGGCGAGAATTCCCCAACCTCATATTGGTAAAGCTCATTTCACATGAAAACATTCATATCAGATTGAAAAAAGAGCGGATCGAAGCTACTTCTGCCCAATGAATTATACACTCAAACAATATAAGCATGATTGCAAGCACCCAGAATGGTGTTTCATTCCTCATGATTGTGTGTATACGCAGGGGCAGTTGTTTCCATTTTCGATTCTTCATACTTCTGAACATACTTTTTTTACATAATATTACAGAAGAATGAAAATTTGTAGTGAGTAGCTTGAGAATTATTCGGAGTCGTTTTCATTATCATTATGAATATTATTACTTTTCTATTTTTATTTTTCACGTATTATGTTTTAATTGCTGTTCCGATTTCTCGCAAATTGAAACGTGCTCTTTACTTTCTGCCTTCCGATGTGTAATCAATAACAGCTAGAGAAAACAAATTTTACTGTACTAGAACGCTGAGTATCTTTCCATTCACTGAAATAATTAAAATCACTGTTTTTTATTGTCTGATGCTAGTTTTGATAGTTGTAACGCGTTTTCCAGATTTCATCAATTTACTCAAACCAATTAGTTCGACTGAAAGAGATACACTCAAGTTGCTTCGTCTGGCTTTATGTCTCAATGACGATAGCCAGCTTAATAAGCTGTGATGATGAAACTATAGAAAATACGTTTTAACTTCTGTGAGAAGTATCTGACTCATTCAGTGTAAGTGAGCCAAATATGTTCTGTATCAATGAACCAATGGAAGATGTACCGAAAGTGATGTTTCACAAAAAGCATTAAAATAGGCATTTAATGTCATGAGTCAGTGTTAGCTGGTATATCAGTGAACAATTGTCTGCATCTCAGTGAGGGCTGGAACAACTTCCGACCACTTGTTTTGGTAATCGTGACTTTCTAGAATCGAGTATGAAAAAAGGACCTCTTCACAATTTCCCGATACATGAAAAAGACTCGTTAGTGAAGTGAAGAAAGCTCACTCTTCAGTCAAAAAATGAACGATGAGGATGATGTGTGTGAGGTTGTGGAACGAAGCTGACAGAAGCGGAGAAATAGTCAAGCATCAGTATTTAAGAAAACCCGTTGCACTTTGGTTGATACTTGCATTATAAGTCATCGCAACTATAACATATACTGGCTTGCTTATTAACCACCTTAATTATCTGTTACAATTTCCACAGGGTGTGTAAAAATGCCGAAATAAAGAAATTAAACGACGAATGTATGGCTAAAATTGACATCAAAATAGTGCCTCTATTCTATTCAATCCGTCGTCATTATTACAATACTGCATATTTTCACGGATCTTACCGACTGTGAAATCGAGTAGATGGAGTAACTGACAGCGGAGACAATGACACAGACATTGAAATTTCCGCACATCGGGGAAGGTTTGAATTTTGTTAAAATGTCTGTTGCGAGACACATATCTACAAATAGTGTCAGTAGGGTGGTTAGCGAGCAGCGATGAAAAGACGTCAGCGGAAAATACGGAAGAAATAGGCTATTGGCAAAGCTAGAGAAGAGCAGAGTGGTTCAAGCGAACAGGTGTACGAGTGTCGTATATGTGGAATAATAGTGAAAGCTTCCAACGATTTGGTGGGAAATAGCTGAGCGGATCACATTCAATCATATATAAGATATCTTTGATGAAAAAAGTACTTCTAAAATCGATTCGAACTTTAGGTTGATCATCATTAACTCCTCATCTTGAAACTCATGATTTCATTTATTTTACTCAAGCTTGAACCCAATTTGGAAGACAAAGCGTTTTCATGTCATGCGAAATGTTATTTTCACTTATGCCAACGCAAGGCTTAACTACTTCCTCACGCCACTTTATAAATTTTCAAAACCGAAAGCGCATGAAAACTACTTCAACTGAAGTGTCAGGTCACGGAAATCCAAAGGCGTATCTGATGAACAGGTGAACAGAAATGAGAACACATGAAAATGTTTAACCAAATATTTATTTAAATGTATGAAAAATGAAATAATCAGTGAGATTTTTTATACTTGTATGAATCTGAACATGAAGTAACATAGCAAGAGAAATAACGCCAATAATAAAAATAACTTCGTTTTTCAATTTGAGTAGATTGACTACCACCGAGACGATTGTTGGGTAACACTGCGAGAAAATGAGAAAAGGAATGCGTGGTAAGAATCAATCAAAAATCTGAAATGCACTGACTTAAATGAAGCAAACACACACACACAAGCAGAAATACATCTCAATATCGATGTACACATGCACCACTTGAAACAGGAATCACTGCATTAAACACATCTCACACAATCAATCACTCTTCACTGTGTCAAACAGACTGTGACACACTAGATGACAAAATGACAAATGTGAAAATAAAAATATGTTCTCACCTTGATCAGAAGAATGATGAACTTCACCGCCGTTCAACAGACGGTTCTGGTCGATATATGTGCTGTCAACGACTGAAATCGCAATAGCTATAAGAAGCAGGTAGCCAATCTGAAAGTGTGTTCAACATGACCATATTCTTCAACTTACCATTCTTATCAAAAGAGAATTAGCTGAGCGGAGAGACGATTTCTCACAATCAAGAAGCATGTATTTATAGCTTACAAGAAGACTGTGAAGCAAACATATGTTGAGGTCATCTAGTTAGACCAACATATTTCGTTTCTGTGAACCAATAGGAAGTTAGTCGACTTACCTGTGGTTACACGAATTGGTGATCACGTAGAAGTGGATGTTTTTGAGTTTCGGTCTGAACGCAGACACTGATGCGTCATTTTCAATCTTCTTTGCTTTTTACGCTACACTATAACATCGGAGGCTCCCTTTCCCGATTCCCAATGGATGAGTGAATTGAATGGCCTCTACCGTCGAGATAATGTTGTCGAGACATCGATCTTTGGCCTGTGTTTTGAGTACAGTGAATATGTCATGTACATACCTGCAAAGTACCCTTAGGTTAGAACTGAACATTTCAATCGCTTTGTTTTCTCACCTTTGCACGAATATAACTGCCAAACTTGGGAATGCTGGCGACCTCATTGCAACTCACACAGTTTCTTGGTATATTTTTACATGGAATTTAAATACTCTGGAATTCAGGTTCGGCTTAACTGCCAACATTTTGTGCAGAAGTGGCACTTCCATTAACGTTCGGGTTGTCGGTGAGAAATGCGTTCTCTTCTGACTGCCTCTATAGCCATATGTAATGATTCACATGTGTATGGATTTCTAGTGAAGCATCTCACTGCAACAACAGACGTTTTTGCAACTTGACAGTTTCTATGTTTTTCTAAGAAAGGCATTTTCTAATGAAATTCACTTCAAAGATGAATTACCTCTCGTACACCTATTTGTCAGATTGATTCCCTTCCTCTGATGTTTCTGACGAACAAAGCTAGTCGAAAAGATGTTGTGTTATTCAACATTCCATGATTGAAATTCGCTCATATTTCTTCACCAATTTAGAGGAATGTGAAAAAAGATGAATGTCACCTTTCTACGTCTGCCGCACCACATCTTCAATGCGATTTGCTTAGCTTCCCGAGCGTGACCAGAAATCATAGAACCACACGTATTCCTAAGGGAAAACGCCTTATTTGATATCTGTATCAGCCTACGAAATATTACCAGTAAACTGTTTGACTTATCAATTGAGTGAACAATCGACGGTACATTTAAACAAAGATCTAGTATTTACAGAGATGCTTCGTCTAATCAGAGATTCACATACTGAAGACGAAACTGACAGCATTTTATCGCAACACACAAGGTAGCCATCCATTATTCGACGGAACAGTTTGCGTCACCGAATATTCACAAATTGTTTCCATTGACTGGATTTTGTAAATGAACACCACTTCTAGTTCAATTCCACTTTGATATGTCTGTGAATGCATGAGGCGGTTTGTTTTTCACGTGCCATGGGAATCAGTGAGTGAATGAACGAATCAGCCTACGATTTCACATTAGCATACATATCTTATCGATGTCCATTTCAACCTACGACGGCAAAAGAATATTATTGAGAAACAAATTCTGTGTGAACATTGCTTCAATTACGCAGCATGCACAAGAAAATGACGCAATTACTGACGCCATCAGTGGATTTTATAAAGAATAACGACGAAACCAGTCGTTATATTGTATTATCCTGAACGTGTTTTCATAATATGTAACTTCGTTCAATTAGCACATGCAGAAGTAGTTATGTTAATTAGGCTGAAATCAAATCAACTTAATGCTAGCACCATTCTGCACCAAGAAGTCACTGATGAGCTGTAAATATCATACCTGTGTTGATGCTTTTCTCACTTAGCGACACAACTTCAATATCTTTCTAGGAACAACTTGTCGGTTAATAAAGCAACGATTTGTTGCCACTAAACGTGAGAACAACTCCGCACAACGTATTAGAAGTATTTAATTCTACTCTTCAAATCGTAGTTTTCTATGAATATCCATCAGGTGGAACGAGTCTGCTTGTCCATCTAGACAAAACGTTACCTATAGGAACTGAGAGGTGCGGTTACATACATACGCAAACAATCAGAAAGAGAAACGTCTCACTTAGTAGATGGTAATGAATACTGAGTCCTATGCCAACAATGACTCCTTTGAAACTTAAATGTATTTTTTCACATTATGCCTCTTCGGATACAAAAATTTTCTTAAATTACTTTCCGATGTTTATGTAACGTATAAAAGATATGTGTGTGTTGAAGTGGTCAGTATTTCAACTTTAATTTAAAAGTAAAACTTATCTATTGAAAGATACTGAAAATAGACATACGATTCTACCACACTGTGATTCTACCTTCTTCAGATTAAGGTCAGCAGATTATTTGAATCATAATGCCACCGTCATTGTGACACCCACACATATGCTTATTGTCAACATTCTGATTCAGCACACTCAAGGTGATGTGCAGTAAAAGACAGTAAGCACTAAGAAATGCAAGCCTACGCGTACGGAGCAAATGAATTCTACTCAGTAGTCTATGATTTTGTGTATTTCATAATTTCTCACTTCCAGATAACAAAATCAATATCTGCGTTAAATACTTTCTCAGCTATCCTTTGTTACTGTTTCTCATATCTTCAAAGTTATCACTGATGGAAAAATCACCAGCAGATGGGAGGTATGGAGTTCATTATATTTGTCACACCGTTACCATGACCAAATTTGCTATTCGCCACCTATCGCAGGTTCGAGATGCAGCTTCCATGGATTTTCGCAAACACGAACCCGGAGGCTGCAGTCTCAACCACTGTCGATACTGGGTTTATTCAATTTACATTCAAAACGTTCATTGCACGGCTGAAGTGTCATTCGATTATGTATTCCAATAGACTTCACACTGAATATTTCAACCTATCCTCAATTCAGTGGAATAAGTTGAAGCTGACGTTATCCATTCGCCTACACACGATTAGATGCTTTCTGTGTTCTAAAGCAATTTTGAAATTACTGTGATAAACAAACGGTTTGCCGCTGACTGAAATGGGTAAACGATTTACAAAACTGAACTTGTAAATTGCTGACAGAAAGGAAATGTAGTCATCCATATGAAAATTCCTTTATGAATTCCACTTGATTTGAAATAGTCACAGTCTCTGTGGTCTCGTTGTCATAGATTAGCATTTTTCAATTTAATTTTGTCTTTTCTTTGATTACAGATTGATTCCACACTGTATTTTTTGAGGAAGTATGGAAGTTTAAGCATTGTTGTATCCTTTTTTTCTTAGAGGAACATAGGGCTTCAGCTGGACATCTCCATTGCCTTCGGTTTTCTGCCAACGTTTTCACCTCCCTCCAAATCTCCTATATGTCTTCATCTCCTCCTCACATGACCTCCTCCAAGACACCCCCACACTGACGACCAACTCGCCGCCTCCTTTTCGGGTTCTACTCGAAGGCTTGTCTATTGATGTCACTTGATGGTTTCCTGAGCGTATGGCCAATCCATCTGCATTTGTTCCTGCCTATTTGTTTCAAAATCAGTTCCTGCTATGTTGGTTCGCTCAGTGCCAGAGATACCTGTTGCTGATCATTTCTGGCCAGATGATCTTGAGTATTGAGCGAAGACAATTGTTAATGAAGGTCTTAAGTTTGTGTGAGATGCTGTTTATGACGCGCTGGCCAAGTCTCTGATCTAATCGTATAGTAGCACTGACTGACTTTACATTGGAGTTGAAAATCCGGAACTTATTTTTGATTCTGAGTGCTGTGGACTTCCACACAGACTTGAGAGTAATGAAAACTTGTCTTGCGTACTTCATATATGAGTTTGAAAATAGTCTCTGATGATGTTGAATGAATAGAAGTGTTAGTCAACCAATGGAATCTTCCGCGTTCTCCCTTTGATATTCAAAACTATAAGTATTTACGAGCACACAATGTACTGCTGGTGTGTTTTCCATGCAAAGTACCTGTATACCAGGTAAATCAGTAGATACAAACTAGAGTTAGTAGTAGAACATCCTTATTCTTTTGTGTTTCCGTGAGTATGAGGGCATCTTAGGCAGGTGAATTAAAGAGATACAGCTAGCAACCTTCAACACATTGCTCACATCAAACCACGGAGACTATCTGAAAAAATGTGATGTATTAGCGCTATACATTTCGAACAATCTGATCACACATTTACTTGTCAAGCCAATATATATAGAAAGGTTAAATTAAACAAAGTGAGAGTAAACGGAATTAAGAATAATTAACACAAACGTTTGGTAATCCAATCAAATAAGGATTACCAAGGTAGGTTAAGAGTAATGACAAACTGTTTTTGAATACACAAGAGGGGCTTAAATCTATGATTAGCTATAGCCTCAGCGTATTTCAGTAAACGCCCTTGACCGTTTTATAGATGACCTGAAAGGCTGAGCTAACATAAATCTTATGGTTCATCTCGATTAGATGTTTAGCTATAGACGAATTTGGTAGTCTGCCACCTGCATCTATTACCTTGTCACAATTCATCTGTTTTTCTAACCATTTTGGGATATGCTCTCCCACCCTCACGTGCAAAGCGCGATTACTCCTCCATATGTATGTATGTCCACACACACACGAAGGTTGGTAAATTGTATGGGATGTGATATAATCACTTGTGCACTTTTGGGGTTTACAGTGAAGCATGGACTACCTAAAATTCATAAGGTTGACAATCCATTACGTCCAATTCTTTCAATGTGTAACTCTCCTACACATAAACTAGCAAAATGGTTAGCTGATATTTGAAGTCCAGTACCCAATGAATTATGTAAGATTACATTGAAAGATACATTTGAACTTGTTGCCTTAGTACAGCGGCTGTCTATCCAAATTATTGTTACAAATGATAAAATTATCGTCAACATATCGACAATAATAATCGAGTTGGTTTAGTATCTATTGTGAAGGATCATTTTCAAATTCAGGTAGAAATATGTAGGCTAATAAGAAACAAAAGGGTAGAGCCCATAGCAACCCATTTATTTGGCAATGGAACTCCTTATTAAATACAAATCAAACTTTCGTAATGCATTTTTGAAGTAACTCTATCAATTATCTTCTGAAACTAGTAATAATAACATAAATAAGAAGGAATTTAAGTCATCCACAGTTATACCATATAAAGAGGGGACATCTGAGACACCACGTAGGATTCTGAATAAAATAGGAATAAGGGTGGCATTTAAACCTACAAACTCACTCAGGGACAAGCTATGTAGGTTAAAGGACCCAGTTGACCCAATTAGACAAAATAATATTATTTACAAAATACCAT